GTATTTCCTGACAAATCCGTAATGTTGCAGTCGGCATCTAGATGAACAACACTTATCTTTTCATGAAATTATTTTATAAATTACTCGGTAAGTATCTGTTTACTTCATACAAATAATTATGTTTGATTACGTGTGAAAATCAAATGATCAGTTCGTAGGTATGTGGAATATTTATTCAGGAATGAATGGTTATTGCGTAAGGAATAAAAGTTAACTGCTACAAAGTTATGACAAGAAATGGAATAAGAATATTTGGAAACTAACGGTATTCTTTCAGTAAAAGCTTCATTACGTTGGTGTGTTTGCAAATAGCGGCGAGATGAAGAGGTGTGTAACCGCTCTGAAGTAAGCACACATCATTTAGGAGGCAAACAACAAAATCAACTAGACCTCTTCGATCGAACACTCAATCACGCAAAGCACTTACCGCCTGAAAACAACCAATCATAATTTTGCCATTACTATTCAGAAATCGCCAAAAAATAAAATTAATTCTTCAGCCATCAATTCAATTCAAGGAATAATGATATCTAACAACCAGTTCTACTATTAATAATAACAGCTCACAGTTCGAAGGTTGATGTTCGCACCATTATCGGCCAATAGGCGCACCACATCGACATGTCCCCCTTTGGCCGCATAATGCAAACCACTATATCTTTGACACAATAAGGGCGCATAATATACCAAATCTGGCTGCAAATAGAACACCTCAAAAACTTCGCCATCTCTTCAGAAATTCATGTTCTAACGCACTACTGATTATTTCATTGAAATATCACTACCGAATACAGATCTTATTAACGAAAAAAACGATCAGTAAATCAATCACTTAGAGACTAGGAGAATATTGGCTAATGTGAACAATGAAAATTTTTTAGATGGGAATCAATTGTTCATATACTGAAAATCCGTGAAGGATGACCTGAGGAATGGATAAGTAATTGCTGATTTATATGCCAAATGTGTTCGAAGAGGTCAGCTACGGATATACTTTTAGGACATAATCAGCAAGTGAAACAAAACAGTATGGCTATCAAATTTCAACGGATGATTGATTGCCTTCCGAATGGTAAATTAGGCACACGAAAAGGTAGATAAACAAACAAATAGTCACGATTCATAGAGCCTATGTGTATGCATATGATGTGAATTTAAAAAGAACCTTCTCGTGAAGAAGTTTTCGAACGCATTCAGTGTTACCGCTTGTACAAGCTTCAATAAACTGATGAGGAAGAACTGAACGATGATTAAGAAGTTGTGACTGAAAAGGTAAATAAAGAAGATACTGTATACTTATGTATAATAAATACAAGATTTTATGTGCGCATTCAAGAAAGCGATAACAATAGATGATTATAAATGAGATTAAGTAAATTCGTAAACGAATACGACCTTACTTAGAGAGGATGATCCTCAACTATTCAAATACATTATACTTTCGTTCTTTTCGCCATCACAACAATGCCGTCATTGTTCAAATTGCTTATTACTCATCTAATAATAGTATTACCCGCATACTGTAGTGAAATTTAATCACTGATTTCATAGATAACTAAAAATAGACACAGCATCAAATTATTATCTCTTAAATGTCACACCAAGCAGCTTGATAATGATTTCTCAACACTCATGCAGTGACACTGTTCTCTTTGCATCTGTTTATCTACTGGAAACCTCCTCGTGTGTGTCTGGTTTGTTAGTTTCTCGAAACAAAAACCAACTCTAAATGTACGTATAAACAATAACCTATGAATTACTAACAATGGAACCAGTAACAACCGCAAAAAATGGAAAATTCTTTCGGATGGAAGTGAAGATGAACAGATGAAATAGCACAGTATTATTAAAGAAGTGATGAACACCTTCACGTTGAACATTCTGGTATGCGACCAATTGATTCATGCCGTCCATTCATATGAATTGTTAAGCGTTCGCAATTGTTTTCTTGTTCAATTAGTAATCCGTTAGCGTATTTGCAGTCATTCATTCATCGCATCAGCGGAGTTGAATGCCATATCGGGTTTTAAGCTATTTTTTAGGTATTCATACACGAAAATACGTTGTGATTATAAAGAGGCATTGACTAACTGACTACTTGCGTCTATAGTAGAGTTTACAAAAAAATGAAAGAATTGAATATTGAACTGCCGTTGCAGAGGGAATAAAATGTGTGTGAAAGTAGCAATCAATGTGTTCACTTCATGTAATATATCTTCTCATCACTCATCAATCCATCTTATTATATCATTATACGTTCGCTCGAATATTCATTTAACACACACGCACACATATGCGCAAATAAACGTCATACTGAATTCTTGTTTAACATTCTTTTTTAATCGTTTTACGACTATTCAACACATCCAGCTTACCAAACTCTAAAATTAGCGCGAGTTCTGCTCGAATTACAAAAGGTATCCGGCATAAAAGTGGCAATCTCTTTAATATACATTTCTTTAACACTTTTTTAGCGGAGTACAACAAAAAATAGATTCTATTTCGGACTAGCATAGAACTTTTATGATCGACTGTGATATTCTCTGAGGAGAACGGTTGCAAGGAACGGAAAAGGAAGCATGTCCGACAAATCGCTCATTCAGCAATATCCTCAAAAATTATCATGTAACACCTCTACACAAAACCACTACACGTCAGCTTTTTGATCCACTGATCATGGCAGTGGATCAATAAAGATAATTCATTTTGAGTATCTTTAAAAATTATCATATTGATTTGGAATAATTAATAGGTATCATTATCCTTCTACAACAACAAGAAATGAATTCTTAAAAAACAATACTAGGAATTAGTCAGTGATTTCGATTTATGTCGCTGCTACTGCTGCCCCTAAATGACCACCGGAAAATGTTGTAAAATAGTTAGTATGTTGAAGGAATTTGTTTGTTGATTGATGTGTGAAAGATTGCGTGTACACGTTGCGCATGCTCAAATGAAAAGAATTTTAAGACTGTTTACAGCCGAAGAATGCTTCTATGTAATGCACACAAGTGAACGTGTACTATTCGCAAATAAGATATGCTCACTGAAATAGTTTTGTTCCATGAACTCATTCACAGCATGAACTATGAATTATACTACTCGGAAATGATTTCAATAATCTATGCAAGATTCGCGTTCTTCAGCAACAACAAACACTCAATCAATTTCAGAGATTCTGGCTCTTACGAATGCTTCATTCACATCCCACAATTACTGACAAATAAGAACTGATGTGGGCAAAAATATAAAGATAAACTTGGTTGACGATCAAGGTGCCACTTCAAAAAGACGTATGCATAAACTGAAGCAATTGTTCGAATTGAAATTGCATCGAACATTTTTTGGGAATTAATCCAGAAGTCAGTAGCTATCACCATTGTCACATCGCTATGATCAGACACGCTGCTCTTGTTCGCACATTCATGTTTATCTTCTTTCGAATGAAGCAATTCTAATAATCGGTGATTTTTAAGGGATGGATATGCTTTCACATATGATGGCATTTATCTTCTTCTTTCATCTGTTGCTTTCATATGAAAAGCAATATCAATACTAACAGCAAATAGCGTCAATTCGTTGAGTCGACAAACATAGCCACAAACCTATATAGGAACGAACCATCGTCATCACCGTCATAAATGAAGAGGCATTTAGAGGTGTAGAGTAGGTAATACATTCAATAGCGAGCGGTATTGAAGAGACGCAAAGAAGAAGAGTGAATCAATCAGATTGGTGCTTTGATATTTATTCGTGAAGTAAGGAGTGTTGCAGTCTTCTCATCTGCTCGCTCTTCTGCAAATGTGTTCCTGCTGGCTGCTGATGCTTATTCCGTAAATCGAGGTAGGTGAAACGGAGGCACACACTAGCAGCAATATTCGTGGTGCGCCATACCACCGTATTCCACTCTTTTCTTTTATCTAGCTGTCTGTTTTTTAATTGATAGACATATAGCTGTGTATTGAAATCCATTATTTATGTACCGTATCATTGAGTTTTTCTTTCATGAATTAAACGTTATCAGTTGGTTCATATGATAGAACTTTTTAGGACTAAGTTCATTTGAATTATCCTTTAGAACTATTCAACTTCAAATGGTCCATCCTTTGGGCGCTCAATCTCGTATTTTTATTACATGCATGTATTATTTCTCGTATGTTTATGTCTTTCAACTGTTACTCGTATTGTCGAACGGTGAGAAGTTCAACGTATGCTTGACTGACTCAAAGTATCAAGCAGTTTTTCGTTCTTCCTCTAGTTTCTGTAAACTCAAATCAATTTCAGCTAAATCATAAGCGAGCGCTTCTTCATGATTCTAGTTTTGTCCTTCTTCTTCTAATTCATCCATCATACATCCTTACTCTTAGAGCATAAAAAGTGAAGAGTGTGCAAAAAATTGGTTAAGTTGATAAAACAGAATGCAACTATAGTACATGTTAGTGTTTTTGAGTTGAATATGGCTGAGTTTGAGATGAGGCTGAATAAATGAGTTGAAGCTAAAACAATGGCTGAATTTGCGCATTGTTTTCCTACAAGTTTTTTTGCGGCAAACGTTTCCCTTCTTAGCATTTCATTACTTTTGAAATGTGTTGATAATTGTTTGAATTGATTGTTTTCGACATCTGATTCACTGTTGCTGCTAGTTTCCTTTAAAAAATAATAAAAGCCAACAATAAATGCTTATCCTTCTTTTCATGATTCCAGAGACAGTTTCGACGATTACGCCTCTATCATGTAATATGTTACGAACATCATTGTTTGCGTGCGAATTTTCGTAACATATCATTTTCTGTCAATAATTGCTTAACATATTATTACACGTGAAGTGATGGCTTTGAAACTTCGTGATCTTCAACTGATTATTATACCTTATAGTTTCATATTTGAATACACTCGAAATGCTGTAATGAATTCTTTTCAAAAGCATGCGCATATTGCTTGTAAATATTGAATAAATGACTGAATAGGACATGAAGTTTGCGACTTACAAATACGTTAACCTACGTTAACTGAAGATAAAATCAATCAACATAAAATCAGACTGAATGATAAAGTTGCAAATAGAAATGCGCATTTATCAAACACCTAATAGAAGCAATCGCTCATGCAAATAAGGCGTATAGTTTGTGAATAATTTTAAAGGCTATTTAAAACGGCAATATGTTAGTAAAAGAGTTTTAATGACAGCAAACAAAAAAGCATATTCGACGAAGAATTGCTGACATGAAGAATTGGGGATAAGTAAATAGTTTGCGGTGTGAGATGGGTAATACGCGGTTTAACACTCATACGGATGCTGCATAAAACTGAATGATAAAAATGAGCTAAATAAATAACCTTAGTTGACTGAGTTCCGTTTGTGTTTATTTGATTAGGTGTTAAAACAGACGAATGTTGTTGTCCTTGTTGATTCGATGATAAAAATGGTATTTTATGATTATGTTCTTCTGAAGATTGACTTGATTGTGAGACGAAGAAGTTATTTTGTTTGCATAAATAATCATCGTCATCGTTTTTCTCTCTTTCAAGTGATTCATAATGACCAGATGAGCCTGTCACCACTGCTGATGAGGTGTGTATCACTTTTGATACATGGTTACGCTTATCACTGCCTTGTAATGTCAACTGCAATTCGTTTTCATATCAACTTTTTCACATTCGTTTGATAATCAGATACCACCTATCCAAATGCATACACCTGTTTTCCCAGTTGAAGAACCCGATTTAATTGCAATCAGAAATGAAGTTTGACGGTAACAAGTCTGATTTAAATCTTAATGCAATTCTGATTCGTTTTCTTTCAACTCAGTCGAACTTTATCGATTTGTCATAAACCCAATTTCATTTCCAGCTAAAATTATCCGTTGCCTATTTTATTGAAACTGCTTCCATGAGCACCTGTCCACCTCTCTATCGTATGTTCGCATAAGATATGTTGTAAAAAATGATGTTACCATTATTGCACTGCAATACAGTTTCATACATTTCTATCAGATTAACACAAGTTTCCAGAAAATTATTGCAGCGCTTGTATGAAGCAAAGTGCAGAAGAAAGTTAGTTAGTAATATTATTGAGAGAATGACTGACCTCGACATTTTTGATGGCTTGGAATATCGACGCTTCAAGGCCATCAGCACTTGTACGTTTTTTGCATCCACTCATTTCTGAAATCGAGGTATCATGTATTTAATTAGTCCGAAAAGCCATTCTAAGTGTGCTTGGATTATGTGCTACATCAGAATTATCAAGCAGCAGTAAGTAAACACGCTCAACGGAAACTATGACCGCTCGTATGAAAACAAAAGTTGTTTTAATGAATAATAATTGAGGTATTGTTTCAAAGCAATATGATGCTAATGCAGTCAACATTTTGAATGTCCTCATGATTCATAAGGTGATAGTTGATTCGATTATATTACATCTAAAATGAGTTGATTTGAGGGTGTGAAGTGCTCTTCAAAATTGATTTTATTATAAGCGTATAAGATACATATACATTCATATTTATATGCACATAGATGATGAGAGAACATATTTTATAGCGAATGATTGAATCGTAAACGTATTGATAACTTGTTAAAATGCTAAGTTGTTTATCAAGAAGAAGACATCACAACTACACCTGTAAACTTTAGTGCTTGTGCATACTTCAAACAACCGCATATGACGAACAAGTTACAATTCAAAAAAGAAGGCATATATGAAAGAACTCAGATATGACCATATTATAGAAACAATAAAAGTTTTAGTGTGAACAAAACATATGTTTAACACCTTTTGCTGAATAATGTGTTAAAATGAAAAGAAGACGATAAAGTACTCTGCACTGCGCATACACATCTTCGGTTTAAACATACAATACTAGTGCTTTGTATACATCTTTGCTCGTCGTATGAAAATGCGTGCGTGCCTTTAATTTACTTTATTTCGAAACTTGTCTTGTTTATCGTTACTATACAAGTATTAAAACGTTAACAATTGACCACTTTTCATTTGTAACGTATTTTGAGATCAGTTAAATCGAAAAACAATCAGTTCTACACATGTTTGCATGAAATAATTTCTCCAAGCTTTCCGATAAGTGCTCCAAATGTTAACATTAAATGAATTTTTCAGTCGCAGGATATCTAATTCAGATAACACACGTTTTCGTCATTGTCTACTCATTAGTGGATTAAAACGACATGGGTGGCCTGTCTAATTAACCTGTCACATTTCGGTGATTACCATTATAGAACTGAAAATTGTGTGTCGTCGAATCAACATCTCATTTAGCAAAAAAATGTTAGGTTACGATACCTGATGCAGTTGTAAACTTTAACCCGCTACAATACATATGAAACAGACCAAATGAGTTTACAATAATCACATTATCTCTTGATAAATGAGCAGCATTAACAACGGATTCAATTAACGTTAGATTTTTCGACTAGTCATTAATGTAATTTATTGATCAGTCCTCGACGAATCTTAATGCCTCTGCAGAGTTGTGTTTTAGGCCATAACCATTAGTATTATTCAGTAATTCTCATAGGAATAAAATTTCCCCGGGGAAATGTGAGGATGCCATGCGGTGGAATGTTAAGACGTCAGGACGGGAAATTGACAAATCATTACTGTTTGATTTGATTTTCATAATTTTTCCACACTTGCCCAATAATACTTTCAAAATGTTTGTTTGACCAAAAGTAATTGATTACATTAATGCAAACGAAGCACTTTTGACAGCAAACTTGTTGATTATTGAGTCATTTCCTTGATTTTCGTCTGATTTGTCGCTGAAAAGAAAGAGGAGGGGAGGGGTGAGATTGCAGCTACTTAAATTGTTGGGGGTGAGAATGACGATTCGCCATACTGTCAAAGAGGGGCACGTAGCACAACAGCGTGCGAAGCATTGTAACCTATCTATTTGATACTATTTCAGCGAATACTACTGACTATAGCACTAATTTCATTAGCCAATTACTACATACTGAATCAAGCGAGATGAATTTATTCCCGTAATTTTATGCAAAAAAAAAAATTAATTCCGCTAGTGATGCGACGATTTGCTAAAAGTACTGAAAAAGTAAGTAATTTAAACATTAAACGAATTTTTTGAAAATCGCAAGTAAAAAGTTTTTGAGAACAACACTTTGATGTTGATGACGTTTCAAAAAGGGCGTTGTTGTTGGATGGTAGTGTTTTACGATCTTTGCAAAACAATTGTACGATGTAACTGTTTAACGATGTATCTATCTATCCATTAAAAAGCATTAAACTATGAGAACTAGATAGAAACAGCACATACTGATGACAAACGTTCATGTTCTAAGTTGATCGCTTGAAATAAAGCTGGTCGTTTTATTCATTCATTTTCACATCTCTAATGCAACTTATGCTTGAAAGAAATCATCATCGACGCGCACTCAGTCCATCTGTTTTATGCTATCATCAGAAGTGCATATGTTTATGAGATTCTGTGGGAATAGTTGGTCGTTTCAGAGATGTTCTTTAGCTTGCTAACAATCTGGGCTAGTTTGAAACGTGTTCAAGTTCGAAAAGACCGAGCATTTGAAAGTTTATATTTTGTTGGCATAATATCAAGTGGAAAGAGACGTTGCTAAGTATTGATGAATGGAACCTTGATAAATAATACTTCTCGTAATCTTTTTGAAGACAAATAACCAACTTTGAATATTAACACTAGAGCACATATCTCAGGTTTCATGTCTAGTGAATATTTCTGGATTAATTCCTGATAAGCTGTTTACACGTTTTAACCATTTGTTCGATGATGTTCGATAAAATAGCTGATGAAAGTAATCACATCACTGGAAAAGTTTTGACAGTGATGCAAGTTCCAAAATAAGAATTAGAATTGCCAATTATTAGACCAGTATAAAAGGGTAATCACAAACGAATAGTGTTCGAACCACAAAGAAGCTTAAATTATACGGATCATGAAAAATATCAGTCCTTACTTGGATTAAAAATTGACTTTCATAATCAACAGAACTCATAAAAACCACTTACCGCTTGACAAATTGTGATTGTATTAAATGATCACATCACGTAACTT